AAAAAAAAAAAAAAACTCAACTAAGGACAGCAGAGCTGGGGTTTGAACCAGCGACCCTCTAGTTATGTGATGAACTCCTGAATCCTACCTCACTGTTGACAGACACACAGATCTACACACCTGGACCGAATTGCTGTCTGATGAGAGAAAAACCACCATCTCTCTGGCTGAGCGTGAATGCATTGTACTCAAAGAATTCGTTTCAATTCTAGCGGGCCTGCTCAATGATATGCAAAGTGAAACTGCTAAAAATGCTACATTTAAAGTTTATTTTTTACTATATTGTTGTTCGTATACTAAATATTGTTTAATACATTTACTATATTGTTTAAACCATTTATATTGTTTGGCCCTTGCTCTCTGTGGTTTACTGTAGTCTAAATGCCTTGTGTAGCTGTTGAACCCTGTGGTATTACACAGGAAGCGGCAGAGATGGTGCATCTACATTGACTACTTGCTTCCTGCTCTATCCAAAGTTGTATGCTGGACATCATCTGTCTATTGGTTGTGCAGCCAAATATTAGCTTTGACTCCAGGACATTCAAGGTAGTGCTCCATTAGTTAAACACTACAATGAGCTTGGGTCAGTGCAACACAATGCTATATTTCAGTGGTGTATACAATACACATGAACAGAGTTCAACTAAGCCGTTTTCATTTACGCTTGCGGATTTCCCATTTTATATGGATTTAATGCCTTTTTGAGAAAATATGTACTCCTCTGTTCTCAAATTCATTTAGATTGGGGCATAATGTTTTTTCTTTTTGACATGTTTACCATGCTTCATGTTGTCAGACAGGTTCTGTTTGAGTGGTGTTGAATTTCAGCCATTTTGGCTGGAATAAGGCATGAATGTGGCTTTTAAAATTGAATTCAGCTTTAATTACTCACAGGTAGTTGATGCTTTACAGATTACATGGTGCCAGAAATTAACTTTCTTGCCCACTGAGGTTTGTGGGACAAAAAAAAAAGGATTCAATATATCGTCCATGTTCCCCCTGGCATGGTAGGAATTCATGATCCAGCATTTCCCCCAGGACTTACCTCCTCTAGATCCCTATCAATTACCCCTGCAGCGACTCGACTGAATCAGCTCTTTTCCCTCTATTGTTGAAACAGAACATGATTTTCTCATGAATGAAAAATGCTGTTTAATGTTTGAACACCCACCCACACCCCCCATCACCCCTTCAGTGGAGGTGTGGAGTTGAAAGTCAGCGAGAGGGGCTTTGATGTTGATGGTGCTGCTCTGAAAACCTGCTAGGATGGATTTACCTAAAATGAGAGAGTAGTTCATTTGTTTTCTCTCTTGTGCGTTTCATGATTCATGCTGAACAGTCAAATGCGATGCATTTATGGGGTAATTTCGTCTACAAATCTCCTGGGTAGTGATAAGAACTATTTATGCAGAACCTTCCTTGAACTCGAACTCGAACTTGAAAAATTGAATCTGGTGAAGGTTAAGTTTTGTTGGGAGGTTTAGCTGGTTAGGTCTTACCCTTGAGATTTTGGAGCTTCATCATAAAGATGCATCATAAATCTCTTGTGCCGATTTAACTTCAAGTCATTTGTTTAAACCAACCCTATTTGTGTGAGATATTGGTCATTTGGTGAATAAAAAATGACACACACACTCACAAACATGACTTGTTAGCTATTTCTTTCCTTTCTATGGTTCCATCTTTGCCACAAGATGTGGATATTTATAAGTAAAGCACACTTTGGGGGCCTAGTGTATTTTGAAAGATGAGGCAAGCAGGTGTAAATGCCTTCCCTACAGAGCTGCCCTCAGAAAATGCAGCAAAAAAGGCTTCTGTTATCTGCGCCCTCCTTGGGATTCATGCTTGTTACTGGCATTGTTGAAAAGCAACACTTTGGCAGCGACAGAAACTAATAAAAAAAAAAGAAAAAAAAAAGGAATCGCTTTAACGGCCCCCAATTTTCCGACGCTTATTGCGCTCAGAAGCCTCTAAAACAACTGAGAATGCAAGACTGTCATCTCCCCTGCTGCTTTTATAGGTCTTGCTTTTTAATGAGTTTTACCAAGAAAAGAAATGATAACCAATAGGGATTTCAGGCTTTGCTTTAAGTCTTGTAGGGGTGCCACAGTTGTTTATTTATTTGTGTCCATTTTGGGGACTTTGAGGCAGAGGAAATATGCTGCCAATGCCACTTTAGGATAGTCAGTGGCCGAGTGGAGCAGACTGAAACAGAAATCAATGGTTTTAGTGTGATGGATGAAGCTCTCTGGCTATCAATAACATAAACTGTTTCTCTGCATATCCCTGCTACATGTGCTTGGTGTAATCATCACTGTAATTCTGAGAGAAACTGCTATAAAGACTGACAGAACAGCAGCTTAAAGCACTGACTGTTATCAGCTTCTACGCTTATTTGTTGTGTATTTTCCAAAGCGGTACCTCCTGTGGCTCATTGGGCTCACTAGTGTTTTTCCAGACTTGTAAGCTTCGTAAATAAAATACCAAATCTCCCAGTTTGTTTTTAAGTTTGAAAAAATGTGTATACATAGATACGTGTTTTTGAACATACTGAGCACACTGATGCCCTTTGAAAAATATGACATTGATGTTTTATGGGAAGCATTTTACATTAGAACTATGTTGATGTTCTTGAGTATTGTTAGGATGGTACTGGTTTTGATTAAGTCAGATTGGACTTGCTTCTCTTCTGTTTATCAGCATGATTTATTGCCAAATATCAGTACCATATATGGCAAAAGTATTCATGCTCTTTGAATTTTCCCCCAATTACTACAAACTTTCTGTAATAGACCAACATTCAATAATGCTTACGTTTAAAGTTTAAGGATGATTTGTACCCATTTTCCATGTATTTATATTCAGCTGCCTTTCTTTAACACTGCTTAATAAAGTTATCTTTGACCACATGTCTTTATTAGGGCTGAAAGATTTGGCCTTAAAATCTTATGCTATTTTGTGGTACTATAATGCCTGATAATGATAAGATTGATGATAAAAACACTTTGAAGTCATTCTTAGGTCACTGTATAGCTATGAATGTATTCCACAGCAATCAGCACAATTCATTTAACAATACTTTATTAATCCACAGTTAAATGTTGCAGTATCTCATGGAAAGGTTTTTTTTTCTTCTTCTTCTTACAGAGTAGCTAAAGTTAGGAAAGAAGCTAGCAGACCGAATCCAATTTGCAGCCACTCTAACTAGGGTTAGGGTTGTTGTAGCGCCACAAAAATTGTTTTTATATGTCTTAAAAATATCAATACAATAAAAATAGGTCTCTTCAGGACACCAGTTAAATAAAGATGTGTTATTTATATATACAGATGTGTAATTTTATGATTTTTGATAGTATGCTTTGAGCAAGTCTCCAAAATTTTTACAGAAGAAGTTGTTCCCAGTAACATGAAGAAATGTTATTTCTCTTTTTATCTATTTTTTTTTTTTTCTTATCCAAGTTATTTGGCAGCTTTTAGAAAAATACACATCCCTTTGTACCATCAGCCCTTATTCCAGCATTTTTTTATTTAATTTCTCTCTGGTAACAAAAAAAGAAAAG